CAGTATTTGAATCCTCCTTAAGGTAATATGATCCAACTATAAGTGTCAAAGATACATTTTGTTCATTTTAGAAGGTTTATTTCTATTATATGACGAGGTACTAGTGTTATTTAATTCAGTCAATTATCGTGTGGATGAGACATGATTAATAATATAAAGATCTCATTTTCCCTTCATTCTATCAGATAAGACGCGCAAATGTCTTAGGCTATAGAAGAACAAAAAAGAAATGTTACAAGGACCGACGATATCTCTCGTTCGAAGGGAGCTTAGTAACTGACCAGTTCGTGACTCTGATTGTTAGTTAAGGCCTCTTCTCACAGAACATCCTGATTAAGGGAAAACGTATTACACTTCTTTTAGTCTTATTATACTAAATATACGCAGAGTTACTAAAATAGAGATTATATCCATCCTTAACTAATTTAGAAACCCAAACTAAGTTTCTTCTAATATCAGGTGCATAAAGACAATCTTTCAAAATTTAAACCCTATCTCTACTAAAACATGAATGTAAATCTCCTACTGTAACTGCTACCACTCTTGTGCATTTCCCATATGTAGAAAAATTCCTCATCACTAAGTCGCCTAATTTCATAGAACCCCTACAAGAATTTGCTGACATGATTAGTAGCTCTTGTATCTACACTTTAGTTATCAGTAGATAACACCACTACTATGATTCAACAACTAATAAATGAGATTTACCTAGATTGTTCACTTTGTTGAGGAAGATTAGATATTGCTTCTTTCAGTGTCCTGACTGCTTATAATAAAAACACTTGCCCTTAGGCTTTTTCATTACTCCCTTAGGCCCAACAACCTACGTTTGAGCATTTTTCCGCTTCTTCTTGCATTTTGGCTTAGAAGTAGAACCTTTCTCAATCATATAAGCACGAGGTTTCTGTTGGAAGAGACCTTTCAGCAGCCTGGGGTTCCTTACGGAGTTCTATCGAAGAATAAAAACGTTTATTCATATTGTAATTAAGGCGAAACTGATTAAAGGACTTTGGCAGAGATTGACGGATGATATCAACCAGGACTTCCCCGTCAATCTCAGTTCATAGGATCTCTAATTCATTAAGAAGACCCATTATCTTCAGAGCATGATCCCTTGTTGGTGCTTCCTTAAGCATGTTTGTGTTCATTATATCTTTTTTCGCAACTTGTCTAGCAACACGACTTTGATTCCCAAATAGTTCTTTGAGGTTCATAATCATGTCATAGCGCGGTGGGCTTGAGCTCATGCTGATTTTGTAATACACTTAACATAGATACCAAAATGTAATATTGTGCTATCTCATCGGCTTTTTTCCACCTTTGGTGAGCCTGGACTTTTTGTTCAGTTGTCCCTTCACTGGGTTCATTAAATAAAGATCTATAAGTACAAACTTGTACTCCTCTGTAGTCAATACAATATCCAAGTTTCTTGTCTGGTCTATACAGTTTGGTCCAGTTAGTTTGTGTTCTTTAAGTATGATAGAAAGAGGGTTGAATAAACCAATTTCAAAACCTGAATATCACATAATTGAAAATTATGATGGGCAAAATGAAAATATAAAATTCAAATTTAAATTTAGTTCCCTTTACTATTGTCTAAACGAATTTGCTAGTAGCTTGAATCACCGTGAATAGCATGTCTCAATAGGGACACTACAAGAAAAAAATACTTTTTTTCTTCGGAGTTATTTGCTTTGGGTTAGGAAGTTAAAGCAAAAAAATGAAAATTTTTAAGCAAATATTAAATTTTTTTGCTTTGGCCGAATACAGAAACAAATAATCTACTTTTTTGTATCAGCATTCAGCCGAAGGAAAAACTGAAATTCAAAACGATGTAGTTTTATGTTAAAGGGAGGCTAATAATAGTAGCTTTGAAACGTCGTCGTTTTGGCGTCCTCAAATATGTAAGATGCCCTTGGTGTATTTTCCCTTGCCCCTCTTCTCCGTGTCTTGAGCGGCGCCCAGCCTCTAGAACTCCCATCGCTGCCCCATTTCTCTTCTCCCTTACCAGCACTTCCTTTGCCAGCGACTGCCATCCCACCCTACAGCCTCCACCACAGCCACCATCACCTCAGTCGATCAATTAAAGTCCTCAATCGATCAATCAAGATCTTTTCGAGTTTTAGGTTTCATTGCAAGTTTTAGGCGAATTATGTGTCCTAGTCGATATTTTAGGGCTTCTTTTTCTTCCCTTTCGTCAAGTGTTAGGGCTTCTTCTACTTCTTCTCTTTCGTAAGATTGTGTGTTGCAGGGAGAGATCCGTTTGAGTTTTTGGGAGATCGTAGAGTGAGATCCGTTTAAGTTTCGATCTCTGCGACAGATTTTGAGCTCAGATATACTAGTGAGCTTGAATCAAAAATAGATTTGGAAGAGCCAGAAAGCTGTAGAGGAACTTCGAGTCGACGTTGTGATTTGGGCCATCAATTCAAAGTAAAATTGTTTGAGTTACTATTGCTCTGCTCGTGGATTCATTTTTCTGAGTTTTTTTTTTTTTTTTTTTTTGTAATCAGACTTAGGTTTAATGTGTTCTTACTGGGCTTGATTGATTATTCTTGACTATTCTTATTTTGGTCTGTCGGATGTCTACACATTGTTGTATGTTAAACTAAACGCTTTTTTTAGTATTTTCAAGTTGTTACTATGCAGATTAGAGTTTTTTTGCCTTCCTTCAAACTTGAAAATTAATGTTTAATTTGAATAAGACAATGAAGAGAGGTTTGTGTTAATTTGGATCATTTTTGTGGCCAAGATTTGTGTTGAATCATCCACCTTGAGCAGCCGCTTCTATCCATGTCCACCAGGAACTAATATTAGCGAGCCAGTACTTAGAAATGTCGGTGTTTTTTTAAGGTTCAATCAATGATTTGAATTACTCAAGTTCCCAAGAGCTAGTCAACGTTGTTTGGCATGATTTTTGTCCCAAGGTACATATGGGAGGTCCATTATCTCTGTTCTGATGCTTTAGCTAAAAGATGTTTGCTTAACAAAACATGTGTGCATGCTAGTTACTTTCCTATCGTTTTATCATGTAACCAAAAAGTAATCACCAGAACTAATAATGGTTTCGTAGCTTTAAATCCAAATGTAAGTATTTACGTTGGAGGGAAAGTGTGGCAAAGACAGGAGCAGCACAGCTACATCATCAAGACAATTGCTTATTAGTAGGTGCAACTTTTAGTACCTTTCAGCTACATCGATGGCCTCTGCTAATTGGGTTTGTAACTAGTTAATTATAACTGCTACGGAAGCTGACTTGTCATGCTTTTCATTTGGGTTGCCTTGATGTTCTAGTTTGGACGATCAATAATTAGGATACATCATCATCATTTTTGTTCTTATTTTGTCCGTGCTTGTTTTTTAAGGTCTGTATCAAGTTTGATAGTACATGCTAATTGAATGCAGGCATGAAATTATCATTGATAACTTAAATCACTTTTGCAAAAACTCTTTTAACATATTTATATGTTCTTTAGGGCTGTGAATCATTTGCTTCATATGAAAGTCTTGAGCAGCTTCATTGTTTCTTGTTTGTCCTGGGTACCACCCATGTATCTTACAGCTTTGTCACCATTGATGTTAAGTTAAAATGGCATGATTCCATGTCGTCGATCCAAAAGATATTGATGCTCTCAAGCATAGAAAGCTTATCACTCCACAGTACTAATCGTCTTATTGTTTTCGAGTTTCTATGAGGTTTCTTTGTATTTGATAACTGGTTGAAATTTAATCTCATAAAATTGTCACTGATTTTGTTGGGATTACACTCAAGTCTAATATTTTTTTATTTTATACCTCCGAAATATGCTAATGTTCTGTTTTTATTGTGGATGGATCTGTTTTATTTCTTTTTCTAGGATATGGAAAGGCTACTGAGTAAGAAAAGGTCCTAACTATGCTCTATAAAGGAAAAAGGCTGCCACTGATTTAAGCAAATTTCATGTTTCTCTATTTCTTTGACTCAAATTCAGATTAATGATAAGACTTGATGATGTATAAAATTGTCTCGTGCAATATCAACAGTTGAATGTGTGATAAGATGTAATTAATAGACAAGTAATAAAGTAATCAATGGTAATAGCGTAAATATTGGGTCAACACGTAAATATATAATGATTCAGTGCCGGTAACTTACTACACTTCGAAGGTGGTAACGGTGGCCGATAAGCCTTTATTAATGAATAAGGTACGGGAGAGAGAGCTTTGAGAGATGTATGCTTTGAGAGATGTACAATAGTTAGGAGAGAGAAAAGTTATGTGAAGGGTGTGTACAGATATAAGGAGGTGCTCTTTTCAATGGAGAGAACTTACAATTTATAGATATGAAACCCCTAGGTGAGACGATAACGTGAGGGTAAATGCACTAGTTTATCGGGGAGGATAACTACAAAATGTAAGTACAATTAAGATAGCATTGATCGTTGAGAGTGGGTATTTCGATGATTACTCTCCGCGTGTTCTATTTTTCTTGGACTTCTTGGACCTTGGGTTGGGACGAATTGATTAACCGGGCTTGGCCTGTCTTTTATCTGATTTGAGCTTACTTGACTGGTTGGGCCTAAATCTTTAGGAATTGGCTCGTCATTTGCCCTCAATGCCTCAAGCCCTGATGGTGGTGAAAGGGTTGAGGGCATGAGTGAGTATTCTATTCCGTGTAGCTTGCTTCCAATGGTAGCTTCTTTGTTTTTCCTTTTTTGCATACCTTCGGAGTTCATTTTCTTCACCTCGTTATTGTCCTTGCTTTGCTACTAAATAGTTAATGTGCACCCAAAGGAGATCTCGGAGTTCATTTTCTTCACCTCGTTATTGTCCTTGCTTTGCTACTAAATAGTTAATGTGCACTCAAAGGAGATCTCAACCTCCCGTATTTAATGCCCACTTTCTTTCTAAGGGTTTGAGAGGCTAATTTTCATTGAGCTCCTCTTTATTTTTCTTCCTATGAGCTTGTCACTTGAGAGTTACGAATCTTTCACTAGAGATTGTGATTGTCAAATAGGTATCCTATGGATGGTATTATAAGAAAAAACCCATTGGCAGAGGATCTGAGCGACGTTGGTTCGTGGAATCAGTCGTTGGGCAGCATTAGGGAGATGTTGGGCGACGCTAGAGTCCATGATTTGGGCGAGACCCTTGGTGGTGACATCACAGGAGAGGTGAGAGGCAGGGACAACGCGCAAGTCGTCGTTTGGCAGTGTGAGAGGGGCGACATCGGTGAAGGAGATGGCAACGCCCATGGGCAGTGCTCAATTGGCGATGCCTTGGGCTTGAGGATCAAGGCCAATGTGGGAGAGAGAGGAGGCGACGCCCATATGGGAAGGTAGTGCCAAAGTGGGAGAGAGAGGTAGCGACGCCAATCGCATGAGTAGGGTGTTGGACCGAGAGGTGGGTAATGCCTTTGGCGACCCCAAGCGAGGTGATGTTGGGCTAGGTAGTGCCAATGAGGCGGGCGAGATCGACAGAGAGGTAGGGGACGTTGGGCTAGGCGGCACGCCAGCCAGGCGCTGGGTGACGAGTTCTGGGCAACAGTCACTGGGCGATGGGCGTTGGGCGCTGGTAGACAGAAGATGTGGAGGAGCTGGACAGAGCCAACAGGCTGTTGGGCGATGCCTTATAAGTGCCAGGCTAGGTGTTGGACACGGGCCCCACTGATGTGGGCAACACCTTGGAGCAGAAGGCAACGCGAGGGAGGCCTGGGTATAGTCAGCAGAGGGGAGCGCGTGCTGGGGCGTCGGCCAGAGTATTTGAAAATCGTAAAAAAACTAGCAAAACTTTAAACGACCATAATTTTGTGCTTGGTTGTCCGTTTGAGGTGAATTTGTTTTTGAATTTGGGTATTTTTTCAAGATTTACAACGTAAAAATCGCCGAAGGCAGTTTGGGCAACAAATTTTTTCAAAAAATGCTTATTTCTATTTGAATTTGAGTTTTAAGCACAAATTAGTGAAACCGATGGCGGTAGGAAGTTGCATTCTAGCAAGTAGCTGTCAAGCATTCATGGGCAACCAATTGCTGTTCTGGGTTTTTGCTAGAGAGGGAGACTATGATGTCTTTTGGCTAGGTAGGAGGCAAACTCACTTTTTCCAATCCTGCTTTCTCGTTAACTTTTTCTGGATGCTGGTTCTTTTTATTGACCTTGTTTCTAATTACAAGTGCCTTATCGATAGAGCGATGATGGAGGCTCCTTATGCTGTTAGGATGACGTCCTCCCCCCCTCTTAAAAGGGCGAGGTTTGATGCCCATAGTACTTTTTGGTCGATGTCCGATGGCTAGGTTACTTCTTGGGAGCGGGATCTGATGGTGCCCCCTCTCCTTCCCAAACTATGACTCCTGTGTGTACCAAAGCTAGCCCTTGTACCATTATGAGAGTTGAAACTCCAGTGTGGTCCTCTACGGGGATTGTAACTCTACCTAACTGTCCTGCTTCTAGTAGTGACTCCGTGTCTATGTTCGATGTGACTTTGGCCAAGGAGCGAATTTGGAGGTCTGTGACTCTTGGGAATATCAGAGGTTGAGTCTCTAGGTTTAGAGGGCATTATCAATATCGCAATGGAGGGGCCTTCCATGATATTCCTTTCTACTTAACTTTGATTTTGTATTCACATCTCCTTTCCTTCATGTTCTGTTTTTTGAATGCTTACATGTGGCTGTCTCTTTTCCCTACTTTTTTCAAGGACGATTTAACTTGGAGAGGCATCCAGGCGTTTGGTAACAGAGATACATGCACGAGGGGCTATTGAGTGAAATTTGAGGTTGGCTTATGAGAGAGTAACACCTCTTGAGGCCAAGTTTCCTAGCGACTCGGGAGAGGCGTTAAGTTGGAGATTGAGGTTACTTTAGTGCAGAAATAAGATTAGGCTGAGCTTTTTGACAACTCTTGAGAGAGTGCAAAGGTGGAGACAGACTGCTTGCTTGAGAGCGGAGCAGAGAAAGACCAAACTTTTGGCAACTCTCGTGAGAGCCGCTAAGTTGGAGATATAGGCTGTCTGCATGAGAGTAGAGCAGAGAAAGACCAAGTTTCTTGACGACTTGCGAGAGAGCCATGAAGTTGGAGATATTAGCTGTCTACTTGAGAGTAGAGTAGAGATAAATCAAGTTTTTGGAGACTCGCGAGAGAGCCGCAAAATTAGAGATATAGGCTGTTTACTTGGGAGCAGAGTAGAGATAGGCTGAGCTTCTTGGCGACTCGCGAAAGAGCTGAGAAGTTGGAGATATAGGTTGTATGCTTGAGAGCAAAGTAGATATAGGTCGAGCTTTTGGCGACTCTTATGAGAGCTGCTAAGCTGGAGATTAAGACGTGGGTGCCATTGGATGAGGACGATTAGGGGCACTGGGCGCCATTGGGCACGGACACTAATAGGCGCTGGTCGTCACTGGGCATAGAGGTCGAGGAGTGTTGGGTTCATGTGTTGTGCTTGGGGTTGTTTGCCTCCGGTCGCTTGGGCAGCGTCTCAGGTTGCTTAGGCGAGGTCTTGGGCTACTCGGGTGACGTTTTGAGTCGCTCGAGCGGCGTCTCGGGTCACTTGAGTGGTGTCTCGGGTTGCTCGGGCGGTGCCTTGGGTAACACAGAGAAACGGCTAGACAGTCACTTGATTTTAGCTTTGTCCCATATGAGGCATCAGAGGTAGATGGTGATGGAGAAAGCCTTTATAATAGTGATTCAGGGTGTAGTGACTAATCGTCGGGAGTATGACAACTTTTATCATTTTGTCTTCCTTGTTGTTAGGTCATGTTTTGATTTTTATAAGCTGTTTACAAACTTTATGAAATAAAAGTAAGACAGTTTTGGACACAATAATCTTCATAAATTTTTATTTCATAAAAAAATAAATAATAGAATAAATGAACTGAAATAATAAAGGACAGATAAAATAAATCACTAGCTTATACCCGTTATTGATAATTGCTCTTCAGGTGTTTGGTGTCCTATAGGTGGTCCAAGGCTTTTCCTGGTGGAATTGGAGTTGCCTCTTCCTAGCCCTTAGGAGATTGTTTGGATTTCTTCGAGGAGTTGTTGGCGTTCTTTGTCATCTTGGACCCGACTAGGTGGCGGGGCTTGTCTTCTGCCAGCAACGTACTGCCTCAACTGACCACATTACATGAGCTCCTCGATCTGTCTCTTGAGCTCATAGCAGCTATCAGTGTCGTGGTCATAGTTGTGGTGGAAATAGCAATACTTGCTTGGATTTCTTTAGTTTGGGATGGACTTTATTTTGCCTGGCCAACGGAACGTGTGGTCATCTTGTATCTGGAACAAGTTATGCTCCACTGAGGCGATGAGTGATGTAAAGGCTTGCCGCTCTTTCAGAGCTGGGAGACTAAAGCGGTCCTTGATAGAGACTCTCTGTCCTATTCCTCTTGTTATCTGTTTCTCTCCTGTCTTCGCGGGTATCCTTTCTTTTCTCACCGTTGTGGGAGGATTCACCTTGATGGGCTTTGGTGACGTCTTTGACATTCATATATTTTTGTGCTCTTGACAGCAATTCGGACATGTTGGAGGGTAGCTTCTTTAGGATAGAGAACATAAAATTGGAAGAGCGCAGACTTGCAGTGAAGGCAATCATGGTTACTTTATAATCTGGCTCCTCGATCTGGAGAGCCTCTTCGTTGAAACGAGTGAAGTTGTTCTTAAGACTTTCATCCCAGTCCTGCTTGATGGTGAGCAGGTGGGTAACTGGCTTTCAATGTCGGCGTCCCCTAATGAAGTGAGAGACAAAAGATTTACTCAGCTCCGTGAAGGAATGGATAGAGGAGGGTTTGATTTTTCATGAACCATTGTTGAGCAGACCCCTTGAAGGTAGTGGAAAAGGCTCTACACATGATCTCATCAGGCACGTTGTGGAGTAGAATAAGAGATTTATGTGTCAAGATGATCCAAAGTCTTTGGTACCGTCGAAGACAGGGGCAGAGCTAGAAAGTCATGCTAGAGTGGGCACAAATATTTCAACAAACTAAATTTTTTTTTTACAATCAATAGAAATAGGACAATAATTTATATTTAATTACATCTTATTTAATACTTAAAAGTTCATTAAACCCAACATACCAAAATTTGGTGAGCTTAGTATATACAAACGACACCAATTTTTTTTTTTTTTACAAAAATATAAGTCAATTAAAATCATTTAGAATTAACTCCGGTGAATTTTCATACTTTGAAATCGTTGCATAACAACTTTATTATATTTTATATACACCATCATTTTATCACTTTGGTTTTTATATACATAACATGTCCAAAATGTGTTAAAAAATTGATATTTATTTGATATAAGTGTACACTAATTGATGTGTTAAAAAAATAAGGTGAGTATAATTAAAAATATTGAAGAAATACTAGAAATACATATAGGTAATGTTAAGAAAAGAAATTTGAGGGTGGACATGTGCCCCCTCCCCCCCCCCCCCCCCCGGAGCATTTGTTGGCTCTGGCCATGCTCTCTACTAAACTCATCAACTGTGCAAGGAATGACAAAAAACCTAAAGAACTAAGGAATGAGCTTTATTCTGTTTCTTTTGGTTGGGCAACTGGGAGTTAGTGAGACAGAGAGAAAAAAAAAAGATAACTAATAAGATAAGTGTTACTGATGCCTGTCAAGTGGGCAAAAACTTTGTTTTTTAATGGTGGGCCAAAAATTTTATTTTTTTAATAGGTTTGGGTGGATTGTGAAAGGTCAAATATTTGATTTTTTAATAAATTTTGGTAGATAGTGGTGGGCTCAAATTTTTTTATTTTAAATAAGCTTAATTTTTTAATTCTTTTGAGTAAATAATGTAGGTCTAATATTTTTATCTTAGATTTTGGGTGTGCACAAATAATATATTATACAAATATATAATATATATACTAAACTAATAAATTTTTTTTAAGGGGGGCACGTGCCTATCTTGGCCCTAGCCTTTCTCCGCCCTTGGTCGAAGATCTCGATGACAAACATTTTGAACTTCGAGGGTAAGGGGTAATTGACAATATCTGTAACGAATGGGGTATCAGTGCATCTTACCAAGTAATCCACCATCTCGGGCGCCTGTTTTTTAATGGCGTTGGGGGTATCACTGAGTTGGTTTTGCACCTCTGATCTTCTCATCCCATTGGTTGGGGACATCCTTCATTAGGTCGTTGTAATGACTTTCATGATCGGTATATGGGTTTTCTCCCTCGTCCTCCTGTGCAGGTACATGTGGAGGGAGAATATGTGAGCTTCCTACGTGCTAAGGATGGGATTTAGGGTGAGGGGCGCCCGGGCGTTCCGTCGCAAGGCTCTACGGTGAAGGGCGGCTTGGTGTCCAGAGTGGAGAGGTTGATGTGCTTCTAACGTTG